CCCTAGCCCACTCAAAGCCCTTTGCCTTTACACACAGTTTGAGCCAGTATCCGGCTTCTCTTATGTAGCTCTGGTGATGTCATAAACATCACTGAGTGTAATATTGAAGAAGACCACAAAATATAGGTATTTATTATGGTCTTTATAGGACAAAGAACAATCTGGGCCGAGCTGTAACTAATAGGAACCAATCATCACGGTGCAGCAACTAATAACCAATCATCTTCTAACGGTCAGCAAGCAGCTAAAAACTAAAAGCCAATAGTCATTTATAGGTAAATATTCATTTACTGCTTATTTCTCTTTAATAAATAATATTCTATGTTTAAAGGCATTTCCTACAATGCCCAGCAAAGTTGGAGACTTGGCACTGAATATCTACAGAAATAACAAACTCGTCAAGGAGAACCAGACAACTGGGCTTAGGAAAGAATTTGAATAATCAGCTCCTATGCAGGTTACGTTCCTCCATTAAGAACATTCCAGAGCTGTGAGACAGCGATTGAAGTCGGACTGCTTGACGGGACAGCAACTATTGGACTTCAGGTAAGGATTATATCCTGGAATGTATGCTCTGAGTACAATAGCTACCTTTTGCTACAAAGTCCAAGCCCTGATGAAGGGGCAGTTTTGGCCCCTGAAATGTGTTGGCTGCCTTTTGTCTTCCTGTTGTACTAGTGACAATAAAGCGGACCATTACCCAAATCTTTAAAATAACAACAAGCTCACCTCACTATTCTTTATTTCTCTTTTCCTCCCCAGTCTTCTGGCAGTGGCCATGTTTACTAAGGGCAGATTACTAGTTCTTTTACTTCCTGGATTACTGTCACATGTGACCAGTACATGTGACTAGGACATGTGACCATGTACATCATCTCAGGGGAGGAAAATGCCTTTCCCTGAGATCTCCTGAGATTTCCCAGCAATGCTCTGCTGATGACAAGGCAATCCCAGCGTGCATTGCTTTGCCAAACTGAAATAATTTTGCCAGGAAGTGAATGCTCTGCGAGTGTAAGTATTTCACAATCACAGCATTTTACACCTGACATGTCTATGTTATTATTAATCATCATACATAGAGCGATGCATTGGTAGAATGTGATTTGTGAGGGGAAGGGTCCGCTTTAATAAAAGGACTGCTGACAGGGCATCAACTGTTGGACTGTTGGTAAGGTTTGACCCTTGCATCTCAAGCTGGAGAGTCAGACTCAACCATGGTAAATAAATACAGGGACGAATAGAAAACTTCCAAAAGCGAAGCCTGTTAAAACAATTAAAGCAGAATTTCCGGATAAATGTCTTCTGATCCCTTGCACTGGGGCTACCCCCGCACTACAAGGGTTACGTGCTCAATTTGGTCTAGGTGCGAAAATAAAGAAGAAATTCTCACCCGATCCTCAGTCCTGCGTCAGTGACCGTTCACCTCTCTCTGGCCGTGGACCTGGTGACCTTCCTCCAGCCTGTCTCCTCCTCCACTGCAGCGATATGTCCCTCTGCATTCTCATGTCCTATACACTGAGCATAGAACATGATGACTCAGGAACTACCCAGGGCTACTACTACTACTCAGGGCTATTACATCTAATCATGGCTACTACTACTAGCCAGGGCTACTACTACTACTCAGGGCTACTACATCTAATCAGGGCTACTACTACTACTACTATCCAGGGCTACTACATCTAAATCAGGGCTACTACTACTACCCAGGGCTAATACTACTACTACTCAGGGCTACTACTACTCAGGGCTACTACTACTTCTACCCAGGGCTACCCCCGCACTGAATTGGTTTAAGTGGTCATTTTTCTCTAGGTTCAAAAATAACAAAGTTATACTCCCCTGATCCTCTGAGCCAGTTGGCTGTGACAGCTCTCCCTCCTGCCCGTTTCCTCTGCAGCGATGGTATGTCCCTCTGTATCCTCACGTCTTATACGCAATTGGCGGAGTTTATCAAAACTGGAGCAGACAAAATCTGGGGCAGCTGTGCATGATAACCAATCAGCATCCACCTTTCATTTTCAAACCTTAACTGAACAAACTGAAGAGAGAAGCTGATTGGTTGCCATAGGCAACTGCTCCAGATTCTTCTGCTCCAGTATTGATAAATTCCCTCCACTGTATATATAATGCGTTTTTTGTGGCACAGATTTTTTTTACATAACATGAATCCAAAGCCTTCATACTTTCCCTTTAGGGTCCTCTTCTCTATGCTGGAAAAGATTATTCCTGTTTACTTTCCATGTTTACATTGTTGCTCCTTGAGTTTATTGCTGTTGGCATACGGGTGATTTCAGAGCATTATCCCGCTACAGCCTACTTTCATAAAATCTTAACTGAAGAGAGAAGCCGATTGGTTGCCATGGGCAACTGCTCCCGTTTCTATCTGCTCCAGTTTTGATCAATCTCTCCCATTGTATAGAACGTAATGAGTCGTAGACCACTGCAGCGGAGGGGGAGCGAGACTGAAGGGAATGTTCTCAGATCAAGCCGGCTCCGAGGATCGGGTGAGACAAAAACGAGGTACCCCCGCACTAGATTAGAAAAACCTCTACCCAGAGCTCTGCTTTAAAAACGTATTATTCGGATTCATAAGCCAGTTGTGATTGGTTCTTTGTAAAGCTGAACTCCAGCCTAAAAATAAAACATAATTAAAATAAACACTCAAAAATAGTAAAACTAAAAAGCAGCGTTTGCAGCACCCGTCACCTTCAATCCAGAGCAGTCACTCGCAGTAATTACTTCCCCCCACTAGATGTCCTCAGTCTTCCACTTTCTCTGAGCCCAGGCTATTGTGGGCTCACTACAATAAACGACGCTCACGCATCACCGCGTAAGCACTTACCATCACCAGAGGCACAGAGGAAGCAGCCATGGCGTCCTCAGACTCACTGGAGATTCCCCCCACCCCCGCCCCCCCACTTCATACAATAAAGATCATCTACTTTGTACAAAGCAGATTTCAAGGTTCTAATGATTACACACAGAAATGTTCACATATTCAGACATCTGCAATAAAGCTGTACAAAGAGCAATGGTGACGTGCAAGGTGCAGATATCCACAGCAACCAATCACAGTTCAGCTCGCGGTAATCAGGTCCAGTGGCACATGTCCAACAATGGCGCTGCAGTCTTTGGTAAATGATGTGGAGCTAATGGTCATCCGTCACTTTGCTCTGAACTTGAACTTTGCACAGGGCTTTTAAGTCAGGGTAAGGCACTCGCGGCGATAGTAAACCAATGGTAGGGAGGAAGGTGGGCCATCAAGTCAACCTGCCACTTTGCCCTCTTAATGTGATGGTTCCGTGAGGATCTCAAATGCAAAGATCTCTAAACTTGAACTTTCCTTCTTGAACATTTTAAGAAGGCAAAGTGGCAGGTTCACTTGCTGGCCCACCCTCCTCCCTACCATTGGCTTACTATCACTGTGCTTGCCTTACCCTGCCTTTAAAGCCCTATGCAAGTTCAATCTGTCTGATTCTGAGCTCCCGCCGAAGCATTTATAAGAGCCGTCTCACTCTCAATGTTCTATCCATTTTATCGGGAGAAGTGGGAATACTTAGGAACATCTTTGTTGTAGTGGAAATAGTGAGAATCTAAGATGGCTCACTACAAGGCTGTGGTGGGGGAGGTCTTGCAACTGAAATACTCCAGAGTAAAATAGAATGAGCAATTCAACTCAGCAGGTTCCATCTATAACAGAACCAACTCTTCTGGATGGACTGAACCTTTTATAGATGGTAGGTTGCTCTGGTTACTGTACATTGTACATCTCCCGGGCCTCACACTGCTTTATTGAATAGGCTCAATCAAGATATTGACGTAGGCAACAGTGTCAATGAAATCAATGGTGGCATACTCACACTGTTGAGTACACTAGTGCACCAGATCTTTGTGGAACATTCTGATCTGGTATCCTCCAAAACATGACTCTTTTCCCTGCTTTGAAATCTGACCAAAGTTCCATCAGCAGCGTACTGAACTCTCCATCCATCCAAGGATAGGCGCTCATCGTTTCTTTGGCATGGCTTTGGGTCGGGCGTTTAGTGGCAAGATCTCCTGGAAGTCCCTGGCCATCTCTCTCAGAGGGTCCATGATAGGGTTGACGTTCTCTTCCATCCATTCCTCCACCGTGTCTGGGAAATAAATGGAATCCAGCTGTGTCCGGAGAGCTTGTATGTGAGACTCCCACTCCTCATTGGCTCTAGGGGGGCGAGGGAAAATCATCGTTAGCTCATGAAGTGACAACGGCCCGTGAGGCCGGCAAACCTCCAGACATCTGGGTGTTCTTGCCATACCTCCATAGCTGTGTTTCTAGATCATGCTCCTCCGGGCTTGCCTGGAGAATTACACCCTTTTGGACAAGCCCCACCCCTTTGTGCCATGTGATTATTTTAATATTTTAATCTTCTCACTCCTCTCACTTTCCTCTGCACCCACTTCCCTCTACTGTTCTCTTGCTGAATTTAGCCACAGATGTCCAGAGGTGGACAGAAGAGGGAAACAAGAGAAGAAAAAAATTAATTTGTACATTCTGAGGCTGGGTGCAGACCCCTCTGTCCCTGCTGCCCTATGCCCTGGAGTGCCATTATGGCAAATACAACCTTACAACAATCATATATTGCCCTTCAGCTGTCCTGTGCGATTAACGTACTGCACCATGCAATCGCACCTACTGCGCGTTCTGGTGTAGGAGGTGCGTTGCCCTTCATCTGAATGGCACCCCAAACGCACCTCCCATCCACAGTTCAATCGCCCACACTGAAACCTGTGGTACTGCAATGCCGTGCATTCCATTGCAGTGAGACTTGGGTCACGACTTATTGATCAAGGACATATGTAGGTCCTGAGGTTGAGAATCACTGCTCTAAAGTTTTTATTGATGTCTGTGTCTACGTTGGTAAGAGTCTCCCACTTGATGAGGGCCAATTGTCCAATGGTGACATTTGTTTTGGACCTCTGTCTAGGAGGAAATTTTCTCTCTTTGGAGAGACCTCCTCTCATTCTCTGTTGTGTCTTTGGAACAGAAAGGGAAGAGAAATCTCCCCGATGGATCAAACAGACAGCAAAAATCAATCCTAACAGGGGTTCTAATGATTCTCCACTCTATCCAAAACTCAGCAGGAAAGGTTTGACTAGAGAAAAGGAGAAGAGGCTTCCTGGGGGTCCGTAGAGTGCTAGGCTCAGAGGGCCACCATATCATTTATAAGAAGAAACTAGATAAATAAATGCAGAGACCTCTACAGGGTCCTGTATTTCACCCTGGCTCTGCTTTGGATAGCAGTGAGCTTGTAGATTACCCATGGTGCTTGCATTTTTGGGGGGCATACAAGATCACTTCCAGTGCAGGACACTGGTTAATTTTGGGACAAATGCTGGAAGGTGGGGAAGGCTCATCCTCCAGTTTCTAGCCATTAGAAGAGGCACTGTGCCCAGCTGTCCAATTTAAGAGACATCATTATTTATTACTATGACAACTATACATTCAGTAATGACTGAACACAGACAAGACAAAAACCGCCGAGGAGTCTACAGGAATGTGGCCATGATTTTAATGTTTTGCAATGTCATGTGAAAGTGATTGAAAATATGGACCAGTCATGGATCTGGTGTTGCAAATGTCAATTGGCAGCCATTGAAGTATATATTAATATTCCCAAGGTATCCTGTAAAGAAATACTGATATGATGTAGGCAACCAGCTACCTACAGGGTCCCGACCTTCTCTAGCTCTGGATCAACTATCGTTCTACAGCAGGGTCAACGATAGTTATACAGACAATATAGACGATATAAAATACGTCTAAATATTGTGGCTGCAAATTAGGTAAAATTTTACACGTAGTCAGCACTCATCATCTGACCAAAGCACAGTCATCTAATATTTTTCTGGTTTGTATATATGCGATGACTAAACAGCACCGCAAAACAATTGTACCCATAACCATGTTTCTGCACTTACTTTAAGATTTTGGCACTGAAAGACTCCATTTTCTGTGGATTTCCAAACTGGTGTTTTCGGTGGTAATGAGAAAACCAGGCAGTGATCTCACTATGAGAGAAAATGGTTCATGAAATTAATGATATAATATACAGATATAAAGCAGCATATCAATATTGGTAACAGAACTTCCAAGAGGGCAACCTGTAGGGGGTCACATGATCTAGATAGCAGAGTAGGTCGTCACATGAGCAAGATTTTGGTAGAGGGATTCCATGACCATGAGTAGAAAGATCACATGGTCAGAATAGGGGTAGAGGTATCCCATGATCAGGATGGGGTAGAGGTATCCCATGATCAGGATGGGGGTAGAGGTATCCCATTATCAGGATGGGGTAGAGGTATCCCATAATCAGGATGGGGGTAGAGGTATCCCATAATCAGGATGGGGGTAGAGGTATCCCACAATCAGGATGGGGGTAGAGGTATCCCACAATCAGGATAGGGGTAGAGGTATCCCACAATCAGGATGGGGGTAGAGGTATCCCATAATCAGGATGGGGGTAGAGGTATCCCATAATCAGGATGGGGGTAGAGGTATCCCATAATCAGGATAGGGGTAGAGGTATCCCACAATCAGGATAGGGGTAGAGGTATCGCACAATCAGGATAGGGGTATGGGGATTGCATGATCACGATAGTGGTAGAGGGATGCCATGGTCAGGATAGTGGTAGAGGGATGCCATGGTCAGGATAGTGGTAGAGGGATCGCATGGTCACGATAGAGGTAGAGGGATCGCATGGTCAGGATAGGGGTAGAGGGATCACATGTTCAAAATAGTGCTAGAGGGATCGCATGATCATGACAGTGCTAGAGGGATCGCATGCTCAGGATAGTGGAGGAGGGGTCGCATTTCAGGATAGCGGTAGAGAGAACCCATGATCAGAATAGAAGTAGAGGGATCCTATGGTCAGGATAGTGGTAGAGGGATCACATGATTAGGATAGTGGTAGAGGGATCGCATGATTAGGATAGTGGTAAAGGGATCCCATGGTCAGGATAGTGGTAAAGGTATCCCATGATCAGGATAGTAGTAGCGGGATCCCATGGTCAGGATAGTGGTAAAGGGATCCCATGGTCAGGATAGTGGTAAAGGGATCCCATGGTCAGGATAGTAGTAGCGGGATCCCATGGTCAGGATAGTGGTAAAGGGATCCCATGATCAGGA